AAATGCATAACCCCATGCTAACAAATTTGAAAGTGTGGATAAAACCTGCACTTTCTGGCAAACTTTTATTTACCAAATAGAGTAAATAATGTTAGCTCTTGTAGCAAGCACTGCAAAGTCTCCATGGCTCAAAACAATAAAGGTTTATTTCTTACTCACAGCAAACTCAACGTGGGTTGGTTCATTCCTGGGCTTTTCTGTAAGCAGTGACTTTAGCATCCTTCCTCCACTTGCCACAATCTAGACAAGAGAAAGAAAACCATGGAAATCATATGGACCATTTTAAGGTAGTCATGGGAGTAGCAAATATCATTATTTATCCACATTGCATTGGCCTAACTATAAGGGAGGCTGAGCACAAGAGGCATCCTGTGTTCCCTGAAAGGAACCCAGCATCACTGAACATGTAGCCGATTTCTGCCATACGAACTTTAACTCATGATGATGCAGCTAAGATGATTGACCTATAGCTATGAATGACATTGAAATTATTATAAAAGAATCTTGTCTCCAAAAGGTCTGGAGGAATTTGGTTTTATTAGTGACTTCATGCAAATATTCAAGAAGCAGTTCATACCCATACCTTCTGAAATGTTACAGAGTATTAAAGAAGGAAACAACTCAATTTATTTTATGAAGCTAAATTAACACTGCTTTCCACCGTGATCCAAATAGTGTCTTAGCTATCTCATCTGCACAGTGGGGATAGCAATATCCCAGTGCTGGAGTTATTGAGAGGATTAAGTGAATTATGTAAAATGATCAAATAATGAATGAAACATGGTAATACATATTTCTTAAAATTATCATCATGCCATAATAGACTAATCTCAATTTTAAATAAAATTTCAATTTTAAGTAAATTTATTTCAAACTTTATTCAATGGTATTGTAAGAAAGTTATCTACCAGAGCAAATGTCTTCTAGGGATACAAAGATAGAGTATTAGAAATTCCATTAATAAAATGTATCATACTGATATACAAAATAAAATGATCACCTCATTAGATACTACAAACTGAGATTTAACAAATACACTACATAAAACTTTAGAGAAAATAAGGACTAAGTCAATAGCTGCCATTACAAAAAAATGCTTCTTTAAAATGAGGAAATAGACAAAATTTCATTTCAGAAATATTTAATACTTCTCTGGAATTTTAAAATAATTTAATAATGCGCGAATCAAATAAAAAAGGAAGTAGGATCTCTGCTTCAAGACTCATAAAATTTACTGAAATAGCAGATTTACAAAATAATGATTTCGTTGTTTTATATAGGCACCAAAATTGATGGCTGCGAGTATTCTGTGAAACCATAGGACAGTGCCTAGAATGTCACATTAAAATAGGAAAGCAAGCTACAAAAGTACATTTCAGTAATACTCATACATGTCAAAGAATAACTTTTATNTCCTTTCCATTTGCTCAGTATCTGTTCAGTGCCTACCAGGTATCAGACAATATAGGCACTCGGAGACATTTCTGCTCTCATGGAGGTTACTTTCTAGAGATGAGGAATGTATGATAAAATCAGAAACAAATAAAAATTCATATGATAGTATTATGCAGAGACTTAAAATAGGGTGATGTAATAGAGTGATTGGCCGTTTAGATTAGGTGTTCAGGGAAGCCTCTCTGAGCAGTGACTTTTACACTGAAACCTGAGAAAATAAAGAACCAGTCATGCAGGGAAGCATGATGAGAACATTTCAGGCCAAGCAAAATGTACAAGGACTCTCAGGCAGGAACCTGCCTGGCATATTTAAGAACAGTATATGGTGGACAAGAGAGATGAAAGTAGTTTCAAGAGGTGATCAGGGCATGGGGTTTTGCAGTCAGGGTACAGGTTCCTTCTAAGTTTAGTTGGCGGCCTTGAAGGATTTTCAGATGAGGGGATGAACAATCTGATTTACATCTTTATTCTTTTCATAGAGAAATAATTATAGGGAAGCAAGACCAAATATGTAAAGGTGAGTTCAAAGGCTATTGTAGTAGTCCAGGCAAGAGACGGACCAGATGGTAGTAGAGAGATAGAATTGGATTCTGGACTGGAGGTAGAACACACACAAAAAAAGTATATGTTAGGGTACTAAAGAAGGACTTTTCACAAAACTGTGAGAGTACAGGGACTACAGGGCCCAGTAATGTAACCTGGAGCTTACTAGTAGCTGCCAGGTCATTGCCCCTATTGCACCTGAGGAAGGAGAGGAAGAGCTGTTACTAACATTGGGGAAGTGAAAACTTAATGTGTAGTCAGCCACCTTAAGAGAGCAGTGGCCCTCCAGGGATGAAACAGCCTCACAGGCAAGGCGCCCGGAACATAAAGGCTCTGATCTTACTCTCATCACCACTTCTGATTTCCTGATGGGGCTCTCTTTGGGCCAAAACCAACTGGAAGCCAGACCACAGAGAAACTCTAATGATGTTCTCCTTACAGACCACCATCCTACTGCAAAATGCAAGGAGATGGAGAGCAGTAGATCCAGTCAGGGCAAATGGAAGTTATTGGACACTGAATTAAACCAAGGATGACCCCTAGGTTTTGGGCAGTAGGAATTTACTAAGATGGGAGAATAAGGACAGGAGAAGAGATGCCTATTAAACAAGAGGAACTATCAAATATGTAACTTGAGAATAATCTGCATTTAGATGTAATAATTCCATAAATATAAATGAGGTAACCTAGGGATAGAAAAGGGGACACAAAACCAAACTTCAGGGGCTTACACACACACCAAAACAGTCCCTAATTATTGGCTTGGGTTTTTGTTTTATGCTTGTGATTTCCCAGAGACTTTTCAGTACTCTGTGCTCTGAATGCTAAACTCTTGCCACTTATTAAAACTTAACTTATCCTACCACACATACTAAAAGGGTTCTAATAGATTAATCACATTAATAATAATGCCTGCTAACAAACCAGCTCACAAGATTCCACCTAGCTACTCCTCCAAATTTTGAAAAAGAAAAAAATGGTGCCATTAAAATATCTTCTAAAAGGTTCTAGAAATACTCGAATTATGCAAAAATTTATATACAACACTGTGAGCTACCAAGACCTAATTCTGGAGAAAGGCAGCATTTTGATGCATCTTAATTCACAAGATCTCATTTTCTATCATATTTTGCTTTTCTCTTTTTACCCACCAGGCTTCCATTTTCTTTCACATTCTCTCTAAAACAAGTCTACAGTTTAGTTATCAGTGTCACCCAGAAATGAAAATGTGAGTCTGCAAAATGTTTGATCAGAAAAAGTCACTTGGAAGCTTGTACTACTGAAGACTAGATTTGTCTTCCTTTGAAGCCAAGAATATCTGGGGATGAATCAGTATAAAGGGCAGAGAAGGATTCAGCAGATCGCCACTCAGCCTTGTTCATTATGTTCAGCTGTACCCAGAAAAGTTTTCTTGGGTTGTTAGTAGTAGAGGCCGTTCTTGGCCCCACACTTGACAAGCCTAACTGTTACCACACGAAGGAACTGCATTGAAGCATGGGGGCTCTGCTGGAACTAATTTACTCTGGAGACTTGAATCCAATTTAGCATCTTATAAATAGTGCATGATAGACTGGGCAGTATATTCCCCTGAGAAGAGGCCATAGCTATAATAGCATACCAGGAGTCTGAGGTAAAGAAAAGAGGTTATAATAACCGATGTTGAAATGGCACATAAATTCTTCCAAGAGGTACCCCTCACCCTAGCTTAGCTCCCGTGATCCCTATTTCAGTGGGGGAGGCCCTGCTTCTGCTGATTCAGTACAACATAATATTTTAATTCCAGCTTAACATCAAGGCAGTAAAGCATATTTAGATGGATTTCCTGTCTCTATCTAGGGAAAGAAGGGATTTTCAAGTTAGACTGCCAAGTAATATCTATGTAAAGAATATTTGCATCAGAATTAAAATACAATAATACTCTATTTGCCAATATAATATTCTGAGCAATGTATAACATTTTAACAATATTTTTAGAACTATATTGATCCCTAGGTGAAGTAAACTTTTTGCTCAAAATTCATATTTTTATTCACACAGCATTCTGGGTAATGAAAACCGTCCAGGGGCCTATGAACTTCATCTCTCAGTTAAGGATTACTGCTTTGCCCGAGAAGATCGAATTATCGGAATGACAGTAATTCAGCTACAGAACATAGCAGAAAAGGGAAGCTATGGGGCATGGTATCCTCTTTTGAAAAATGTCTCTGTGGATGAGACTGGTTTGACTATCCTTAGAATACTTTCTCAGAGGACCAGCGATGATGTGGCTAAAGAATTTGTAAGACTTAAATCTGAAACCAGGTCTGCTGAAGAGAGTGCTTGAAAAGAATACTGATGGTATCATCTTTGAGACTTCATCAACTATAATTGTTTGACTGCTGCATGCGTGTGCAAATACATGGCAATGTTTATTTTACTACGTTTAAGTGTTTGCCAGTACTAACATACAATGTCTACAAGGTATGTGGAAAACCTGCTGAACTTTTGTACCATTTCTGGTCTTTGGGTAATAAACGTTCCATGAAGTGCCAAAATTATAAAGTGAAATACCCAGAATATCTTTTTAAATATTGATTTCATTACCAATTTCTCATCAGTTAAGCATACTGAAAAACAATGATTCTTTTGAGTTTTTCTATTAGTTGTCTTGTTAAATTAGTTTATATTGCCCATGGCTTAGAAGGGATTTGTTACTCAAATTCTGTTTGATTTGGACTTACCTCATTGTAGATGTCTTACAAATACCCTTTTCTACCATAACTAGAAACGCAGTCACTTCTAGAAAGCATTTGTAATTTTATAGTTGCAGATATATTGTGATGATTTTTGCATACAAATTAAAATAGAAAAGGTGGGGAAATATTTTATGCTGACAAGTTTCCAACCTTTCTGAAATATCACTGTGAAGAAATGCTATTAAAGCAAACTTATACAAAGCAATGCTAAACAGAGTTTGTTAACAATGTTTGATATATTAACAACATTTTGTTCTTCAAACCTGCCAAGGTCACATCACATTTGTAAAAAAGGTAAGTTGATGCATTTGTCATCTAGCATTACAAGTATGTCTTGGCTTTACCAAATTTCATTTTTTAGAAAGTCATGGGATTAATGGTTTAGAAATACAGTGGAAGGTTTTTTTTCTTAAAATTACCTATGATAAGTACTATGCTGTTAGTGTTTTCCCTCTGACAGTTATGACTATATCCTTATTTATTTACTTAGCACTATATAATCTGTTAAATGCTTTTTTTCTTTTAAAAATACTTAACAATTTATACTGAATGCAGCATCCCTATATTGCACTATAGCAAAAAGTCATGTCTTCCTCTATTTAGTGAAAAATGTAAAATAAAGTCTGAAGAAATTGCTTAGAAAAATAACTTAGTGCAGTAAGGTCCATAAGACTATAAGTAGGCTGAGTTTTGAATACGAAGTAGTTTATGAATACTTGCATTTTCTGTATCTTTATGGTTTGACTTTTTAGAGTCTGCATCTGAATACTTCCTTGGCTGTAGAACAGTACTTTGTAACTTATGGTCATAACTGTTAGTGGACAACAACACAGGCAGAAACAAGAGCCGGTTATAGTGATTGTGTTTTGCAAACAAGCTAGCTGGTCCATGTTAAGAACAGAAATGAATGTAATCATGACTTTCAGAACCATTCTGTTACTGGGTGTGAAAACAGACCAGTAAGATACACTGATTCATGTTCAATTGTTAGGCAATTGCTTTGTTAATGACTTCTCCAAATGCATAGTACAATGTGATCCTCGGGCATATGCATTAATAAACGGATGTCTATTGCAAACAAGCAACACTTTATTGTATGTTCTGCCTTCGTATTTAATTTATGCAACATCATTTCATTATTTAGGAATAAAACTCCAGGCTTTTTTTTTTTTTAAACTCGATAGAACAATATTTACGTTGTTTGGTTCTATGGTTCTAATAACTTATTAGAACTTGAAAAAACTTTTCCAGGAATTGTGTTCCAGTTAAGAGCTACATATTACTACAAGATAATGGATAATAACACTGAAAATAAGGAAGAGCAGATGTATCTAAGCCTCTGACTACTATTAAGCCCCATAAGAAAATTCAGCATTCAACATATAAACAAGCAATGTTGTTCAATAACAACTTACATTACAAAAGCTTTCATTATTTTAGTGAAGGATTCACTCTAGATTTATCTTATAATTTACCAGAATATCGACTTGAGCTCTTAAGAGTACATTAATGTCATACACTGTGATGCGCTTGAATAAATGGCATTAGTCACTTAAAATTTTTAAGCTAAGTATTGTTTGCAGTATTTGTTTAATTAGACAGACTCATTTTTTTGTGTGTAAAATATCTAACAGCAGCGTGCATTGAGTCTATGAATATCATAAAATACAAGTACTAATTCTGAAATAGTTATAAATTCTGCAGTCTTGGTTGTTTCTCCCAAAACCCAAGTATTTCTGCTGTCTCCAGAGCAAAGCCTGTTGCGTTTACAGGCCCAAATTAGCAATCGCTCGGAGGCTTGCAGAAATCTCTGTCAACTATACCTTCCATTCAAGTGTGCGGCAGTTTATCTTATTCTAAATAAAATGCACAAAGACAAAGCTCTGTTATGCATCGACAGGTGAACCGCTCATCAGAAGTTCTTAAAGAAATGAGGGAAAATCAAATTTGGCCAAAATGAAGTATTCAAAGCCATACTGGAGCATTTACTGTTTAAAGGAACCCTCATAAAAGATTATTTAAGATAAATAATCAGATGTCCCTATCACAACCTGTTCTAGTAAATCTTTTTCTAGGATAATTTATATATTGAATTTCCCTTAAATGAGACACATTTATAAATGACAATTCTAGCTTAATGTTGTTTTTTTTTTTTTGGTCTTTAAAAAAAAAGTTTGAAGTAAGGTTTATTTTCTCTTTTTAATTTCTCTAAATTATATAAAAATATAACTATACTAGCCCTTTAATGGGCTACTGTAGTACCTTTAATCTTTACACTCAAATAATTTAAAACAATCATATTTATACAGAACTCAGGAAATATCCTTGGGTGGATATCTGGTTCATCCATTACCACTTGGCAGAATTCTTAAACACACAGGGAAGAGCACCCACAGAAGAGAAAAAATAATGACAATAAATATATTTAGAAATGTTCTCAATGGAAATAATAAAAATGCAAAATACCTCTCACTCATCAATTTGGCAAAAAGTTGATTTAAGAATCAACATAATGTTTTGAACAATTCCTCAAAAATGTCACTTACAACATCTATCTGTATATTGCATCCATGTACTATACGTGCCAAAAGCAAAAGAAAACATGGTTCAGATACAATAAATAGCACACATTGTAATGATGATGACGGCAAAGAGAAATAATGAGAAAAGGTATTTGTAGTAGGATAATCCTTCATTGTGGGGACCTGTCCTATGGATTCTAGGATGTTTAACAGCATCACTGGCCTCCTCTCTGGGTCCCCATAATCATCTTAGAAACTGGCAAACCCATCCAGCACTATTTAAACCAGGTGTAAACTGGTTGGCTACATAACAATCCTCTCCTCTGTACTCCACCCTACTAAACTTTCAGAGCTGAAAAATTACTACCTAAGGAGGCTGTGTTCCTCCAGTGTTGGTTCTTTTGGAGAATTCAGAAATAAACCTCTAATGAGAAATGCATCAGCATGAGAAAACATCTTGCTCTCTTCCCGTTAAGTTACAAGTTGGACAACTGCAATTCAACAAAGGATTCCCTGTGGAATACACAAACACATCCGACAGAATCATGCATGAGACAGCTGAGGCGGGCATATCAGAGAAGGCAGGGGAGGTGCGATGTCAGAGACAGGAGTGTCAGATGCAGTTTGGGACTTGCCAGGGCCCCAACAGATGTAACAGAGGAGGGTCAGGTTACACCACTATTGGGCAGGCTGGAAGGGCAGGGATGGCAGCATTACAGCTATGGTGTGGGTACACACTGAGGCTGAGCCCAGGGACAGGGGCAGGGAAGCAGTGCAAAGGGTGGCAGCTGTAGAC